TATATAGAGAAAAATAATAAAAATAAAATAATAAAAACTAAAAAGTTCTTAAAGAATGTAAAATATAGAAAAAACTCTTTAAAAAGTGTATGAAATATAGAAAAACACTCCTTAAAAAGTGTATGAAATATAGAAAAATAACTCTTCAGAAAATCATTTTAATTAAATTAAAAAGGGGGAAATATAGAAAAATAACTTTACATAAACCTTATCAAGTAGGGGGAATTAATAATATAAAATATATATTATTAAATAAATCAAACAAGTACGATATCGATTATACATACGTAAATCATATAACATAAAAATAGAAAAAAAAAACAGAAAAGAAGGATAGGTCTCAACTGCAAAAAAAAAAAAAACACAAAAAATGACAAAAACCCCCAGATATAATGGAAATTTGTCGAGATACAGCTTGCAATAAACCAAAGGAAAAATTAAGGAAAATAAGAAAATTACATATACTTAACATAAACCAAAATATTGTATATATAAAGAAACCAATAGGAAGAGACTTAAATAAAAGGAGTAACCAGGAAAAAAATATTCACATATAGAAGATAAGTGCTTCTGGAAAGTGCGAGATTGAAAAAATATTATATCAGTTGGAATTTACTTCTATGACGGCATTTGGGAACCAATTCATTCCTTTTGTTTAATAAAATGTTTTGATTGTTAAATTTAATGATGTTCTCCTCTAAACATATATTACATCAACCCTTAAAGCTACTAGGAGTCCTAGCAAACCCTATGAATTCTTAGTCAATTTGTGGGTTCAGGTCTTGCTCCCTCAATTCCTCAGTTTTTGTGGAGAGAGCAGTTTGGTGATAAAGTCTTAGGTTGGAAAAAGTGTGTCCATGGTTATATAGTCTTTGTTTTCATTTCCCCGCAGAAATCCCAATATAAAATTGGTGGTTTGATCTATTTTCTTTGGGATAAATGGGGGCTTGATAAATAACATTAGATACTCTACATGTTCTCTCGACTGGGCAGAGATTATTATTGCTGCAATTACAAAAAGGGTCAATACTAGATAAAGCTAATAAAAATAATGACGTAATAATGTCGTTTTTTGACGTAGAAAAGTACGTCAAAAAACGACATTATTACGTCATTATTTTTGCACCAACCTAATATTTCCTTAACGTATGAACTACCAGGAATCCTTTCAATGAGTTTATCGGAACCTTTTTCAATCAATCCTAGGGTTCCAACTACAACTGGGATTACTGATGTTCCCCTGTACTTGTCGTTTGTGGAATACTTTTCCGGTTTACCAGTGAACTTTGATCTTCAAAAATTTAACTGAAATGTCAATCATCAGCTTCTGTCTTCTTAATTCATGTTTTGTTTTTTTTATTGTTCGTTATGTTTTCCACTTTCTCTTTTTCTTTCAAACGCATTTGCATAACCCCCTTGCGTCTTAGTGGCTTTATTACCTTGCTTGGGGTGAAATGATAAAAAAAGGACAACAGTAGGTTTTAAGATGACATATTTTATCGATTTCAATATTGTTATATCCTTTTATTTTGTCATATTATTTAATAGATATATTTTATCTAGTTGTGCTATCATATCTACAGGGTCTGATGGGTACATTGTCGCCATTTTATATTTTTAATTTCACGCATGCGCATTGTTTGATTCTTATTTTTTTCGACTGCACAGTATAGTAGGGTTTGCTTGGCATTCTCGCCGGAAGCTACAATACGAAAATTTCAGTGTATTTGGGCGTCAATCTCTGGACAGTGCAGAGGATTCGGAAAGTGGTGAATAAGTGTTACAAATATTAAAAAAATAAAAAAAATAAGTGTTATTTGCATTTTGGCGTCATTGAGACAACAATTTATCCATCGCACCTGCATATCTGCTAAAATCAGACATCAGTGTTATTTTCATTTTGGCGTCATTTAGACGACAATTTATCCATCGAACCCCGTATACCTGTTAAAATCAGATGCCAGTGTTATTTGCATTTTGACGTCATTTATACGGCAATTTATCCATCGCACCCCGTATATGAGACGTCAGTGATATTTTCATTTTGGCGTCATTTAGACGACAATTTATCCATCGAACCCCGCATATGAGATGTCGGTGTTATTTGCATTTTGGCGTCATTTAGACGACAATTTATCCATCGCACCCCGCATACCTGTGAAAATCAGATGTCGGTGTTATTTGCATTTTGGCGTCATTTAGACGATAATTTATCCATCGCGCCCTGTATACCTGTTAAAATCAGACGTCAGTGCTACTTGAATTTTGGCGTCATTGAGACGACAATTTATCCATCGCGCCTTATACAAGAAAATTTATTTGATCGTCTTTAATCACACTTTTGTTTACGTGTTCTTTTTTTTTTCTATTATTTACTTGGCTTTTTTTTTTCTCTTTTTCTTTTATTACTTGTTTATCTTTTATTTTCTTTCCTTCTCTTTTTCCTTCTATATTTATTCTTTTTTCACCATTTCTTTGTTTTTTCTGATACTCTTTCCCCATTTCTTTTTTTCCTTCAAATTTTATTCTTTTTTTTTTCTTTTTTTTTTTTTTTTCGGAATCTACTATCCTCCTCTTTTTTCCTTCATCTTTTATTCTTTTTCCTCTTTTCTTACTTTTTCGGATTCTACTTTCATTCTCCTTTTTTTTCCTTCAACTTTTATTCTTTTTCCCGTTTTCTTTCTTTTTCTGATTCTCCTTTCCTTCTCCTGTTTTCTTTTTCCTTCTTTTTCTTCTTTAATATTTATTATTATTATTTTTCCCTGTCCATTTCTTTTGTTTCCTTTTCAGTTTTTTATTTTATTTTATTGTTCTTGCTCATTTTCTTCTTTTTCTATCTTTTCTCTTTCAATCTATTTTTTTTACTCTTGCTTAATTCTTCTTTTCGTTTTTGTCGTCTTCTTCTTTTTCTTCTCGATTTCATTTCTTTTTTTTATCTTTCCTTTTATTCTTCTCGTTCATTTTTCTTCTTCCATTCTTCTTCATATCCGTCGTTTTTTCATCTTTTTTTCCTTTGCCTTCTACATTTTTCTTTCCGTCTTTTTTTTTTGTTACCCCTTAATTCTTCCTCTACTTCTTCTTCTTCTTCTTTTTCTTCTTCTCGTTTTCCTTTCTTCTTTTTATTTATATTTTTCCATCTTTTCTTCTCGTTCATTTTTTCTTCTTCCATTCTTCTTCATATCCGTCGTTTTTTCTCCTTCTTTTTTTTCGTTTTCCATCTTTTTCTTCTTCTTCTCGTTTTCCTTTCCTCTTTTCATTTTATATTTTTCTTTCTTTTCTTCTCGTTCATTTTCCCATCTCCTATTCTTCTTCATAGCCGTCGTTTTTCTCCTTTTTTCCTTTTCTTTCTTCTTTTTTTCTTTCCGTCTTCTCTTTTCTTTTTTGTTACCCTTTAATTCTTCTTCTTCTCCTGTTTTTTCCTTTCTTCTTTTCTGTTTATATTTTTCCTTCTTCTCTGCTTCTTCTTCTTCTTCTTCTTCTTCTTCTTCTTCTTCTTCTTCTTCGTCACGTCCGTCGTTTTTTCTCCTTGTTTTCATTGTCCTTGTTATTTTTTTCTTTCCATCTTCTTTTCTTTTTTGTTACTCTTTAAGTCTTCTTCTTCTTCTTTTCGTTTCCCTTTCTTCTTTTTTGTTTATATTTTTCCTTCTCGTTCATTTTTTCTTCTTCCCTCTTTCTTCTTCATATCCTTCGTTTTTTCACCTTGCTCTTTTTTTCTTTTCCTTCTTTTTTTTCTCATCGTTTTCTCTTTTCTTTTTTGTTACCCTTTATTTCTTATTCGTCTCGTCTATATATTTTCCTTTCCTTTTTTGTTTAATTCCTTACTTATTTTTGCCCCTTTGTCGTTTTGCTTTTCTTATTACCGTCAAACTATGATCTTTATCACAGATATTATTATTATTATTATTATTATTATTATTGATGCATTATTTAAGATTCTTAATTGTTTTCATACAATAATAATTTGTCGTCGTCGCTGTAGCGATAGCCGTATTATTATTAGCAACATAGTAACCCTCATAATTGATTTTGTGCGTATTGTCAGTTTTGTTGATGTAAACGATATTCATTTCTTTTAGTCTGATGAGCACTTTCCTCCCGTCCCCTGCCCGCTACCCTGATACTGTTTTTCGAAAGTGTTTCGGCTTTAATATTAATTTCCGTTATTTGACTTTTGATTCGTTTTTTTTTCTTAATAATATTAAAAGAGCAAAAGATATGTATGAAGAAAATGCGATATGAACTTTTCTTCGCCATTCCATCTAATGTTGATGTGACCAAAGCCTTGTGCGCGCTTCTCGCTCTTTCTCGCTGGGCTGCTTATAGAGATCTCAAGGAGATACGAGATTTCGCCTGATAACTGTATGGGAGAAGATTGGAAACGTCGCCTATGAACGCCGAATAACCATGGGAAATAAAGAAACACTGAAAAAGAAGATAAAGAAGAAAAAGAAGAAGAAAAGAAGAAGAAAAAAAACAAAAGAAGTAGAAGAGTATGTAAATAAAAAAAAATGTAATTGACAACGAGGAAAATTGGTAATGAAAAATATAACGAAAAAAGAAATAAAAGAAGAACGAGAGAACGAGTGATGAATGATTTAGGAAGGACTAAAGTAAATGAGAAAAAAGAATAAGTGGTAAATACAAATAATGAAAAAGAAACAAGAGAAAGAAATAATGAAGAAGGAATTAAAGTTGCTAATGAAAGAGAACAAAATAAATTAATTACCAAAAAAAAAAAAAAATGGAGAATGAAAGAAATAATGAAAGAAAGAACTCGATCAAAAAGAAAGAACTCGATTAAAGAAAGAAAGAAAGAAAGAAAGAAAAAAGAAAGAAAATGACTAGTGAGAAAGAGAAGTATTTTTGGAAAAGAAAGAAAATACATCTATACAAAAGAGAGTGAATTTACAAACGAAAACTAAAACAAACTTAAAAAAGAAAAATGAATGAAAAAAAATTAGAAAAGAAAGTGAAAATCTAATATTTAAATCGCTAAAAAATTAGGAGAACGAAAGAAAGAAAATAGATAAGGAAAGAAAAGTTAACATTAAAATTACCGTAAAATAAAGAGAAAGAAAACGAAACGGAAATAAAGAAACGAAACAGAAATAAAGAAACAAAACGGTAATAAAGAAACGAAACAGAAATAAAGAAACGAAACAGTAATAAAGAAACGGAACAGAAGTAAAGAAACGAAACGGTAATAAAGAAACGGAACGGAAATAAAGAAACGAAACGGTAATAAAGAAACGAAACGAAACGAAAATAAAGAACCGAAACAGAAATAAAGAAACCAAACAGAAATAAAGAAACGAAACGCTAATAAAGAAACGAAACGAAATAAAAAAACGAAAAAAAATAAAGAAACGAAACAGAAATAAAGAAAAACAGAAATAAAGAAATAAACAGAAACCAAAACAGAAATAAAGAAACCAAACAAATAAATAAACGAAAAAAAAAACGAAACGGAATAAAGAAACGAAACGGAAAAAAAAACGAAACGAAACGCTAATAAAGAAACAAAACGGTAATAAAAAAAACGAAACGAAACAGAAATAAAGAAACCAAACAAAAATAAAGAAACGAAACGCTAATAAAGAAACGAACGAAAATAAATAAACGAAACGAAATAAAGAAACCAAATAGAAAAAAGAAACCAAACAGAAATAAAGAAACCAAACAGAAATAAAGAAACGAAACGCTAATAAAGAAACGAAACGAAAATAAAGAAACGAAACAGAAATAAAGAAACCAAACAGAAATAAAGAAACCAAACAGAAATAAAACGAAACGCTAATAAAGAAACAAAACGGTAATAAAGAAACGAAACAGAAATAAAGAAACGAAACAGTAATAAAGAAACGGAACAGAAGTAAAGAAACGAAACGGTAATAAAGAAACGGAACGGAAATAAAGAAACGAAACGGTAATAAAGAAACGAAACGAAACGAAAATAAAGAACCGAAACAGAAATAAAGAAACCAAACAGAAATAAAGAAACGAAACGCTAATAAAGAAACGAAACAGAAATAAAGAAACGAAACGGAAATAAAGAAACGAAACGGAAATAAAGAAACGAAACGGAAATAAAGAAAGCGAAACAGAAATAAAAGAAACGAAAAATAAAGAATAAAAAGTATAAGAAAAAATAAACGTACGAATGAATAAAGACAAAACAAAAAAGAATAATAAATACAGTCATAATAATGAAAAGAATCAAAGAAAAAACTAAGAAGAAAAGAATGGAAAAAAATGAAGGGAAAGAAAGAGAGATAACAGTGAGAAAGAAAGAGCAAGGAATAAATTAAAAACAAAATGAAGAAAGACCAATTAAAATGAGTCCAAAATTTGTTCGGTCGGTTGACCATATTCTCTTTCTTTCTGATGATATGCATACAACATTACAGCCGCTTCATTCTGCAACCTTCTTCACGTGTAAAACTCTTAATAAAAGAGACGGGTTTATATTCAAACCATGTATAATAATAGCAAACTGAAACCGGTCCCCCACCAGGCTTTTCCCAATAAGGATGGTGGCTTGACACCAAGCAGGGTTAAAAAGCAAGAATTGTCGAAAGACGAGTGAAATCGCCACACAGCACAGTAGTTTAGGTCACAACCTGGTTCAGTGGAGGGGTTAAGGTAAATCTCGAACAAAATGATTTAGACTGGAATCCATAATTTGTATTTACTCACCCCAGTCCACAAGGTCAGGTTGTAACACAAGATCGGTTTAATGTGGGGAGCCCGAGTGCGTACACCAGGACTAGGAACAAAATTTGCCCGAGTGACGGCTTGGGAATACCAGGGGCTGTATACTTGGATGTGAGGGTGGTGTGATGGATAAAGGCTCGGAATTGTTAAGTAGAAAACCGCGTTCCGATACGATCACCGAAGTTAAGCAACATCCACCCAGGTCACTAACTAGATGGGTGACTCCTTGGGAATACCAGGGGCTGCATACTTGGATGTGTGGGTGGTGTAATGGATAAAGGCTCGGAATTGTTAAGTAGAAAACCGCGTTAACGATATGATCACCAAATTATTAAGCAACATCCACCGAGGTCACTACTAGATGGGTGACTCACCCAATACCAGGTCACATACTTGGATGTGTGGGTGGTGTAATGGATAAATCAGGAATTGTTAAGTACTTTCGATATGATCACCGAAGTTAACAACACCCACCCAGGTCACTAACTAGATGGGTGACTCCTTGGAATACCAGGTGCTGCATAGTTGGATGTGAGGGTGGTGTAATGGATAAAGGCTCGGAATTGTTAAGTAGAAAACCGCGTTCCGATACGATCACCGAAGTTAAGCAACATCCACCCTGGTCACTAACTAGATGGGTGACTCCTTGGGAATACCAGGTGCTGCATACTTGGATGTGAGAGTGGTGTAATGGATAAAGGCTCGGAATTGTTAATTAGAAAACTGCGTTCCGATACGATCACCCAAGTTAAGCAACATGCACCCTGGTCAGTAACTAGATGGGTGACTGCTTGGGAATATTAGGTGCTGTATGCTTGGATATGAGAGTGGTGTAATGGATAATGAACTGGAATAGTTAATTGGAGACCCAAGTTTCAATTGTTGTTGATTTCCGGTTCCGTTATCCGTTTAGTTTATATTCACATCTCTTATCCCTTCAGCTATGGGTTAATTAGTGACACTAAATCATTATTATCACGTCCTGGATCAGACGATAAACTACATCCGACAGCAAGGCCTCTGATCAGGAGGTTTTGAGGAGTGAGGAATCACCTCTTAATTCCTGGAGTTCCCAGGTCAACCCCGACCAGCCACGGGCAAATATTTAACTGGTGGGTAAAACGTGTAAAAATAAGTTTTAATACCAGCAATACATTTTTTTTTTGCAAAAAAAATATTACCTGCAATAAATTTTTGGAAAACAAATTACCAGCAATATGAATTCTGAAAAAAATTATCGCCAGAATACATTTTGAAAAGAAAAAGAGATTAGGAGCAATACATTTTTTAAATAAAATATTACCAGTAATAAAAATCTTGTCAGTATTAAATAACCCATTGAGATGTTGATATGCCGTAAAATAAACCAGATCAAACAACTCGAATCGAATCAGTTTCTTGATGTAAAGATGAACATCCTTAAGAAAGGCGCCGTACTTGACTTAAAACCAAAAATAATATTATGTTAAATTATAAAAAATATTACCAGCAATAAAAAATCTTGCCGGTATTAAATAACCCATTGAGATGTTGATATGCCGTAAAACAAACCAAACCAAACAACTAAAGGATCGAATCAGTTTCTTGATGTAAAGATGAACATCCTTAAGAAAGGCGCCGTACTTGACTTAAAACCAAAAATAATATTATGTTAAATTATAAAAATATTACCAGCAATAAAAATCTTGTCGGCATTAAATAACCCATTGAGATGTTGATATGCCGTAAAACAAACCAAACCAAACAACTAAAGGATCGAATCAGTTTCTTGGTGTAAAGATGAACATCCTTAAGAAAGGCGCCGTACTTGACTTAAAACCAAAAATAATATTGGCTTCATTGACTTTATTTAGCCGCATCCTTGCATAAAATACTGTTGCCACATATTGTCTAGTGCGCCCCCCTCGCTATTCATCTCGAGGTCCTTGACAAAATCCAGAGACGGATATGCAATGTGATAGGTTCTGATCTGGCGTCTCGTCTACAATAACGTTCTCACAGACATGATGCGGCTTCCCTCTGTCTTTTCACAAGTACTTTCATGGCAAATGCTCTACTAGGTTGGCATATCGGTCCCACCCTTTCACTGTCGAAACGGTTAAATGTAGCTGCCTCTTCTACTCCAAAACCTTCTTATCATGCACTTCCCTTCACTGGAAGTCCCTTCCTATCACTTGCTTCCTTGATAGCTAAAATCTTCAAATATTCAAATGTAATGTCAACCGACATCTTCTGATGCCTTGATCCTGATTTCTGTCCTCTATATCTTTTCCTCAATCAACCCTCTTTACTCTTGCTCTCACTCTCTGTAATGCCTTGTGTGCTAGTGGCACTACAGCCGTGCTTGGGGTGATATACTTAAAAAAAAAATCAACACCTTCCCGGCTTAATTAATGCCGAAATCAAAATATTTTTGAATACAATTATATGGCATCAAATAAATATACAGTAGAATCCCTCATATCCGGAATCCCTCATATCCGTATATGATTTTGATGTGTATATTTGAACTATTTGTATATGTAACGGATTTTAAATTTCTGTTTCTCAGGAAATTTATTTGGATAATTGCTTATGCCGAATTATTTCACCCTAATGGCTTGTATTGGTGCAAAAGATGATGGAGATAAGAGGAAAAGAACAACTTTGGAGTTATCGCACGAAGTGGAAATTTTAAACAGACTAGACGCTGGTGAAAGTTCATTGTAACTAATGGCTGAGTTCAGCATAGGAAGGTCAATATTGTATGATATAAAATCTTCCAAAGAAACTATTCTCCAGCGTTTACACCGTCAAAATGAACAAGGAAATAAAAAAAAAGCATGATTGTGATGAAACCTGGACTGAATTTGAAAAAGCTTTTGAAAAGGTTGTCAGTTTTATGGAAAGAAAGCCAGCATTCAGCTATGACGATTGCAATAACGCACGTAGAGTTAGAAAGTGTCTTTCGTTTTAAAAAAATTCAAGAACAAAAGCAACACGAAATACGGAAAAAGTTGAGAATGAAATTAAAAGAGAAAGAATCATCATGCAACAGCGATTAAAAAATCCTCGTTATATTATTTGTTTTGCATACGTGGCATACTTAATTTAATGAATTTTCATTAACTTTACATAATTTATTTCTTTCTCCTTAAAATCAATTCTGTTACATTTCACTCACCATTAGCTTGTTTTGTTTACTATAAAACACTGAAAACAAATGTTAAACCTGATTTCAGTTGCTTTATTTTAATCTAAATATAACCCCTCATATCCGGATTTTGTAAGCAATTCCTTATATCCGGAAGGCCTTCTTATTCCGGTTTTCAAGGATTCTTATATATATATATATCAAACAAAATTCTCACTAGATCGATATGAACAAGAATTCTAGCGCGCGACATCACACGCTTCAAAACATATAACCCTCTGTCAACAAATAGCATAATTAAAAACAAAAAACAAAACATATTTCAGTATACACATATGTCGTCTTAGTGCTTGTCTAAGTATGGGAAAAATTGCACCTTGAAGATGACAGTTTGAAATTGTCGAAAGTACTTGACTCGTCAATTCTATCTGAAAACTAATCGAAAATAAGGATTTTATTATTCAAAGAATTGATATATTTATTATTAATATATATATATATATATATATATATATGTATATATTATAATTATTTTATTTAAAATATGATTCCATCGCTACATAAGAGTTCTCATGTTTCAAAAGCCGAAGCTAAAAACTTCAAATTAATTATAGAAAGTAAATTGAATTAAAGTACCTATCTCTGTTTCATACTCAAGCGAATTTTGAAATAAATAATCTTGAAATTTACGGAGTATAAAGCTCCGTAAATTTCAAGATTAGTTATATACATTCGTAATATTAATTGCTATGGAAACGGCGAAACCAATTATTTTAATAAGGGGGGTAAAGGTTTACATTTTTACTGACAACTATTGTATCAACATATGAGTTACTTTTGGAAAGAGGTTAAGACAAGGTAGGGTCAATGGCTATTTTCAAGCGAATGATGCATTCCGTTCGACGCATGTCGTCTGGTCTATTTCAACGACAATTATTGGCCCTTTTGTTACGACGTTAAATTCGTATTTGTATACATAAAGATATATATATATATATATATATATATATATATATATATATATATATATATATATATATATTTGTAACTCAAAACACTCCATCAAAAGCGTTAAAACAAAGTAAGGACAAGTTTTTATTAAACTCATCCACAGATGTCTCCCATTTTCAAGCATTTCCCATGAAATACAGTCAAAAACATCTGGTGTAGCATTACGTAGATAATAAAGAAAATACAACAAAAATTAACCAGCAAATAACCCACACAACCTGCATCCCGAAGTTTTTTTTATGGCAACAGAAAGTAACAAAGAAGAAATATAACATGGGAATGACTATGGAAACAGCGAGACTATGTCCAAAGGACACACTATACTGACAATAAATACGCAAAGAAAGATAACATGGAAAATAAGGAAAACAGCATCAGGCTACAACACAAACTCTACAAAAACATAAAAACTTTGCATAGAGGAGAAAATAGCAATAATTACCTTACTACAACGGTGCAAAGTATTAAATCAAAGATCATTTATCTGAAAATGCAAACATGAAATAAATA